AGGCAGCATTTAGGAAATGTATGGTTTAAGTCTATTTTTTATATGAGATGTTTAAAGCTGCCTCTGAGGAGTCTTATTTTGCTCAGTTGTTGGTTTTGTGTTCAGTAATTTATAGAAAATGCATGTGCTGACAGGCAGTAATATTGGCATTACCAGCTCTCCCTCCATTAGGTGTGTTTGTGGAATCAAACAACTGTGGGAGAATTAAAACAGAAATATTTTTGCCTACCTCTTAGTAGCTGCTTGAGAAATCCTGGAAAATGGGAATCTTATGAAAGAATAAATTCTAGGATCCTTTTAAAAAATGTTTGTTTTATAATCATCCATCTGATTCTGGTGTTCCTGACTCACGGGGTTTGAGTGTCCGAGATTGGCGGTAGCTGTGTGACAGCTATTAAAGCCCTGTAGGTGAAACCTGAATATTTTTGACTTTACAAACATCATCCTGGATGGATGTCTCATTTGCCAATCATACCTTATGGATCCCTGTTCCCTTTAGGGAAGGCCCATTCCCCTTCCACAGTCGGAGGTGGCTGTTGTAATCATGCAACCTTTTCTAGTTTTGCTTTCCTCTTTCTAAATCTCCCTGTAAAGCCTGTCTGGCTGTTTTAATTGGCACTTGATATAACCTCCTTCCAACTGTCTCAGAGGTTTTCAGGTTGCCATACAATTTTAACCTGTCACTCCTCTTTTGAATTGCCTTTGGTTTAAATGTTACACACTCCATCTGTGATGAAACAGTCTGAGATCAACAGCAAGTGACCTTATGTTGCCGAGGAGTGGAATTTTGCTGCTTGACTGCTGAAAATCCTGAAACAATCTATTAAAAGGCTACTCGTCTTACTTACAAGCTTGTAAAGGGATTGCCGGGGTGTATGAGTTGTCTCGTTTCTTGCAGCGTTACTGGCGCAGGAGGGCCACCTAGCCGGATTACGGAAGCTGGACCTGAGCTACAACAGCAGCATCTCTGACGAGGGGTGGGTCGCTTTCTGGCGAGGCGTGGCAGCGTTCAGGGAGCTCTCAGAGCTGGATGTCAGCCTTCGCCCGGACTCCTGCCGCCACTGCGGGACCTGGTTCGGCGAGCTGCTCTCAGCCCTGGCAAAGCTGCCTGCTGTGGCAGAGCTGGGAATGCAGAGATGGGTCCTGCCAGAGTCACAGAGGAAACGACTGGAAAGCTTCAATCAAGACAACCAAAGGAACGTTTGGTTTGACTGTTGATGGAGGTTGAAGATTTCTGGGAGGCCTTTCACAAGCAGCACATGAACTAAGTGTTACATGTGTTAGATGTAGAAAACTGCCCAGGTTTCAGTAATCTCATCTCATAAGAGCTCTTGAAATAGTTCCACAATTATAGAAAACTATTCTTTAACATTCTGCATGCATGGACCATTCAATAACATTCTTCCAGATTCTCTGGCCATGCTTACACTGCTATATATGCTTAACCTTTGTGTTGCGAGTACTGCCATGAGAGCCATCAAAAGAGCAGTGATGGTTTCAGATGGATACGCTGCAGGTTTGCCAGTGGAGGGAGGTGGTTGAGGTGTGTGCTAGTGCAGGTGGGTGCACAGTGTGAATGTGGCCTCCTGCATATAAGGAGTGACCTCTAATCTGGAAAACCTTGAGACTTCTGTTCTAAATTTTAGATTCTTTTCCCCAGAACTTCTGTTGCTTTGTGAGTGCATTAAATCTACAAATAGGTGAGCTTTGGAAAGCATCCCAACAACTCAAGATTATGTATTAGTCCGGTAAGGAGTATACAAAAGGAGCTGCCCTGCCTCTGTTCTGGCTGTTGATGCTGTCTCATAGTGTAGATGAGTCCTATGTATAGAGTCAGCATAACGTCAAGGTAAGAAACAGCTGATTGGTGTCTTTGCAGGTCTTGGGGCAAGGGAAGTGCTGTGGTACTTTAAATCAGAGATATGCCTTGCTACTGTAGCAAGGATTTTTGGATACAGGGCAATTAATGAGCATTCTGGAGAGGGCTATGCAAAGACTTCAGGATACTCCAGGGGTGCTCTTTCTCATCCTGAGCTGTTTTGGCCCTACCCAGGTTGTGCTTTCTGTACAGAACCTTTTATGGCATGCAGCACAAAACTAAACTTCCAGATCTAAGAGTCTGATCTAAAGCATATGAAAGGCAGGGGATGTCCCTGCAGTGCCTTCATGCTTCCTGCATTCAGGATTAATCCATTAACCTTCACAACACCTTGTGACATAGACAGTGTTCTTATCCTGCCAGTAACAATGAATGAAATAAGTAAAGTCTGTTATTTAAAGCCACAGGGTAGCTTCTAGCTAAGAGCACAGCAGCCTGCTCTATGCCCAGGACCTGTTAGAAAAGGCACCAACCTGGGGCATGTAAGTAGGTCCTCCTTTTTTGATCTGATGATTCCTTATTTGGCATTTTATTCTATTTGCTTACACAGAGCCAAATTCTGGCATAGTCACTCATGTAATGGAGCATGTTAACCCACACGTGAGCTCAAGGACTACAGCAGGATTATTCATTGGTAAGGTATTTTAGGAAGTAAAGATATTAGATCTGCCCACTAAGTGAGAAGACTTAGAGAAATCCTGAGACAGCTTGAGGGATAAAGTACTGCTCGATTAGCCCTGAGTGTAGCTACATGCTGCAGCAGTTTCCTGGGGGAGAGGCACACAGGATCTTTCGTGGTACTTTCTTCACTTGCTAGGACCCCTCTCAGCAAGTTCTCCCATGCAGATAGAGATCAGTATTCAGTTTTCAGTCCAAGTGACTCTTCCAACACTAACTTCTGACTGGTCAGGGTTATAACCTGCAGCTGTCTGTGTTGTGCTGATATCTCTTGATTGTTTAACCCATGATTTCATGTGAGGGTCTCCATGGACTTCTTGGTTCCAGTTTCAGTTCCATTTGAAAAGTGCTTTTGGCTCCACCAGCTCTGAGAAATGTGAGATGAACTGGAGTGTCTTGGTCAGAGGTAGCAGGGATTTGCTGCAGTGTGGGACCAGTTATTTTCTACAGAGGTCCTCAACCTCTGAAAAGAAGCAAAGAGACCCTGTTTTGTATGGGGCTAACAAGAGAGACTTTGAGGCAGTAACTTAAGCCAGGAGAGTTACCCTAATGTGGAATTACCACCATTTCTGTTTAACAGGAGCACACCAACCCCTCCTCTTAATCACTTGCCTTCCTGTGACTTTCCCCCTCAAATCTGCCTTGAGTCCAACTGAGAAATGAATCCTTTATCTGTTCTGTGAGAACTTCTCTGAGTCACTCCTTTCCCATTTGAATTTCTCTCTCTAATTCAGCAAAGCAGTTGGACCATCTTGTGTGTCTGGTGTCTGTTGTAATCTTACCAACTGAGCTGGACTTCAGTGTTGGGGTTTCTTGCTGTGTCAGAGTTGGTTTCCTCATTCTCAGCTCCAGAGCACAGTACAGACTCACTGGTAGCAACATCTCCACTTGCTGTTCGTGATTATCATCTCAGTACTTTGTCCTCTCGTGATTCTCTCATACCTATTCTAACACTAAAGAGCTTTTATTAAATCACTTGTATTAAATGTCCTGTCTGTCTGCCAGTCTTCCTGGAAATCTCTCTCTTCCAGTGATCTCCTCCTTGGTAGTCTCTGAATCATCCTTCTCTGTGTCCCTCTTTGCCTTCACTTAGGGGGAAAAAAATCTGGAAGACACCCTCAAACAACCAAACCAGCATCAATTACCTAGTAAAATGGAAAACCAAAACTGAGCCATCCAGCTTTTCTGCATTCCCAGCTCTCTCCTGCCAGCAAGCATATTAATGACAATTCAGTATCAACTGATTCAAGCCGAACAGAAAAAAGATCCATACCCTGGATGCAGAAGTAGCCACAGCATTCAGAGAGCACTGCCTGGAGGTGGAGCTCTAGGAAGAGCTGGGTCTCAGTGACTGCCTTTACCAGCTCCTTCAGGATGCCACCACCTTCTGCCAGGCAAGGGGAGGGAGAGCAGGACTGCAGTTCTGACCGGTCAGTTAAACTAAATAAACGGTTCTGCTCCTACCCGCTCGTGCACTCTGAGTCTGCACAGGGGCCAGTCCCAGTCCAGCTCTGTGCATTGTGTAGGATAAAATTATGGTGGGGTTTGAGGAGTAACTGAGCACTACAGAATAAAAACTAGACAAGGACATCAGATATCTAGGACAAACAGCTCTCTGTAAGGTGCTGTGGAAGGACACGGCTGCAGCTACATTTGGCATGCTAGAATTCTAGTAAGGAGTGTTTGTCATGGTTCTTTTGACTGCCCAAGGTGTTGGGACATTGGGTTCTGCAGACTCCCTGCTTTCCAATAAGCCTGTTTTACACAGACATGTTACAAACTGTCACTGAGCTGTCTCGGAGATGAGCTGTAACGCTAAGGATTTGACAGTTTGCAGTCATTCAAAGTACTCTAACTGTGGATTGTCAAAACATCAGTTTTGCAAAAGTGTAGATATACTTCCAAAACAGCTTTTTACACCTCTGTAAGACAGGATGCTAACGCAGGTTCTGGTAGAAGAGTGTGTGTTCTGATTGCCTGCAATCCTTCTCCAGATTTCCAAACAAGTTACTGATCATTTCTGAATGTAAATTTCATCCAATAACTGCTACTAGGTGAGGCCACAAATATTGTTCCGCCCTAGATATGGCTGTACCTCACTGACAGGAAAACAGGTTTCCAAGAATTGTATGTAAAATACTTCGGGATTCAGAAGATGGAACACTTTGGTGCACCAGATTCCTAGGGATTAGATTAATGTCCAGCTAATCAGCTGCCTTCATGCTTTGAGATAGTATGCACTCAGAATAAGATGTCTCAGAATATTTCAGAGTCTGCCTGATTCAGCTAGTGTCAACATTGACAAAAATATAAAAAAATCATGTTGTCATTGTAACACTTACTGATTCAAATGCTTTAATACTGCTTGTCTCCTACTTACTCACCTCTGCTCACATTTACTCTTGTAAATGAAAAGAGCTCTGTGCAGTTTACCACCCAAATGTCATTTTTTGGCTTTTGATTCTTTTACAGGCTTCTGTTCTCCCTTTCCTTTCTTTCCCTTCTTTCTTGTTCTCACTACCTTACTAAGTGTCAGGAAAAGTACAATCCCCTTCAGCCCATGCCACAAACTTTGGGCCTGAAAAAGAGAGAACAAGAATCTGGTTACACGGAGGAAACAGGTGAAAGCAAACAGTCCTGTGGAACAGCATTACTGGTGGGTGTTCCTGATGCAAAAAGCCAGGCACATTGTCTGGCTCCAAAACAGGTCTCCAAAACCCCCCTTTATTCTGTACCACACTGAATTATTTGCTGCTAAGATAGGCTGCCAGCTGCCTGACTTTTCTTTTACTCTTTTTCATGTTATCTTTTTCAAGAGGAACTTCTTACCAAGGAGGACACTAACACTGTAGTCCTCCAGAGCCTATGATTAGAGTAGTAAATGGCTATGTTTACACATCTTTAAATATCACCTTCTAGTTCAGAAGAACAGTTCATGAAGAAACTACAGACAGTACAGAAAGAAAGGAATCATTCAGGTTCAGAAGAATCAAAGATTGGGGATTTGCCTTTCCCTTCCTTATTGCCCTGTGGTTTTTTCTGAGCAAGTTAATTCTGTGGCCCACTGGTGATACAGGCTCATATTCTTTTGGGAAAACAAACATCCATCAACACACACAAGTGTGTTTTGTTCCATGTGTTAGCACAATGAATCTTCAACTCTCTATGGCCAAAATACAGTCAGCAAGAGTGAAGATGCCACCTGCAGTTAGTTTCATCTTTAAGCAATGCTATGAATTAAAGGATCTGCCTTATTTTCAGATACACTATCCATTCCCCTTCCCCTGGACAAGGAATGAAGGAAATTTCACTTGCAAGCTGGAAGGGCTGTTATGTCCCTGCTGTCTGTGAACTGTTTTGGTGGGGCAGCAACAGCCTTCTGGGCCATTTGCAAATGGTGCCCAATGCTGTATTTCCTCATGGTTCCCTATATCCTACTTTAACGTGATCAGTGACTGAAGTACTGCTCTGCCGCGGCTGATGCAAATGCTGGTTTAAGGTGATTTTTGATGTTGCATAGAGTGCTCTGTAGCTTGTTCTGCAAGCAAAGCATCTATTACTCAACCCACAACTTTTATGTATATTGTGGTGGCTTTCTTAACACCCCTACCTTGAAGGTAACGGCCTTTTTACGCCTTTTTTCCTTTAAGTATTCCCAGATGGCTGACGTCCCCTGGCAGCACACATCACTCGGAGGGTCTGTCATAGGGTTCCCATCCACAAGGACCTGCTCCAGCTGCTGAAGACTGTCCAAATCCCTGGGCAGCTGGGACAGCTGGTTGTCCTGAAGGAGCAGTTTTTTCAAACCTGAACACACAAAAGCAAACAGCTGCAGCACAAAGAACAAAAGTGATGCGGGGCAGTCCTGCGTGCTCCCCACAAACAGCGTGGGGATGAGGCACAAACAATTCAGTCTGTGCATGTAATGAATGTGTGTTGAACAGCTCATCAGAGCATCTAAAATTTGAATTATCTGCTGCCAAATATAGAAGGATGTGACCCAGGCTTTCATAGCAAAGCGTTTGCGTCACAAGGTGAAGACTGTTCACCTGGAAGCCAAGTGGCTAAATTTGGCTTTCAAAAGTCCTGCCAGCTGGCACACCAACGGTGCTGGTGAACTCAGCCACACAGAGATGCAGTGGAGAACGGGGGAAGATGGAAGGACTGGGCTGGGGAGCATCCCCAAAGCCAGTTCCACCCCACCACCCTGGAGTCACCAGTGTTAACCCAGTGGGTCTTCTCACATCAGGGCATTTGCTTTGAGCTGAGCTTTGCAAAACATCTTTTCCCCCAGACCCTGAGGTTGAGGTAGATCATGGGTGAGGACGTCCTGTCTGCTTGGCTTGGGTGCAGTGCTTCCGCTAACCTCCCAGTTCCTAACATTTACCCAGTTTAGCTCCCTTACAGTTACAGGAGGAGCCCTGAATGATGCACCACGTTCCTTCCTTCCCTTCTCTCTCGTCTTCCAAAATGCTCACTGGTACTTGTGTCCTTAAGGCCACAAACACAAAGACTATTTTTCACCTTGTATTTGGCATATAGAGTCTGGGAGCTGTTGAAGGAGGTTGTTGCGACAGTCAAGTATTTTCAAATGGGTCAAAGAGCTGATAGCAGTGGGCAGGTTCTCCAGAAAATTATTCTCCATGTGCAGTTCTTTCAGATTCTGGAAAATATGTACACAAGTTTTAATAATTAAAGGGTTTTTCCTTAGCTTGGTATATAATCAACATACAGAGAATATCATTAAGAGCAGGAGTAAGGTTTATAAAATGAAATACCACTGGGATAACTGTTAAACACAGAAAGAGCATGAGCTTCAAACACTGATACCATAATATCAAACACTGAGTTATCAAATACTGATAAAATAACATCAAACACTGAGTTTTGATATTATTCCTATTCTGACAGCCCTGACCTGATGCTGCACCAGGTACCTGAAGAGATTAGGAGAACCTCCAGTCCTGCATTTGGGAGCAGCTGTAGTCCCCAGAAGTGCCATGGTGCAGCAGACCAAGGTCTTCTCCCTTTATTGCTCCTACCTGCAATTTGCTGATGTCTTCTGGCAGACTTGTGAACTTAATCCCTTTATTTTGTCCCAGGTATAATCTCTCTAATGACTCCAGGAGAAAGATTTCCTCTGGAAAGGTACTCAGCTGGTTTTCAGACAGGCTAAGGCATTTCAGATTTGTCAGTTCTTTCACCTCCACAGGTATCTAGACACAGTCATTAAAAAGATACATTATGTCAATTAAATAGTAATCTTTGGGATTTTTTTTAGGGAAAAACCTTCAAGAAAATGCTGTGGAGCTCTATTACTGTTGGTGGATGAACACAGAATATTCTGCTCATTAATGTAACATTATACCTCACAGTATGGTGGAAATTTTCTCCAAAAAAAATCCATGTCGTTACCTCTGCTGGAAAGATTTCTTATGGTGTTAATTTTATTTTTTAGCAGGAGCATTAGTCTGCTCTTCATTTCCTTTGTATGCACAGTGCAGGGGAGAGTAATTTAAATGAATGAAATATAAAAGTGATTCTTTTGCATAAATTACTACTGTAAATGTAACCCTCAAGAAGAAAACTGCATGTGTGAAAATCTCCTTGAAAAAGGAACGTTGCATTATATAAAAAGGAAGATGTGGGCATACTTGTTTTAGGACTCAGAATACGAGTACTATTACACTCAGGATGACAGCCTTAGGGTACACAGTATCTCATTATCAAATGAACAGCAAACATTAATGGTGTTCAAGGCATTAACAATATCACATCCATTTTTGAATTGCCCTCTGTTTTGTTGCAGTTGGTAACGTATTGATTCTGTGCAAGAGCAGCTCCTATTTTCCAGCGCACACAGAAAAAAATAAGAGGCAAGAAGAGTGAATCAATCCTTCCAGCCAGTATCTCATCTCTATGACCCGACACAAAGGTTGGTGTTACCACCTTCTTGCTATCTCTCCCTGCCTGAGTATCAGATGTCAGTGATGATGGGTAACCCAGGCTCAGGTGCA